AAGGACCGTATCGTTTATCGGACCGTAACGCTACGCTGACAGTGAAGACGACACGGTGGTGGCACCTGCCCGTCGCTTTGCGTTCTACACCTTATCGCCTCCGAGACAGGCGCGCATCTTTCTCCGTGGGCGCGCACGCCTTCCTTCGTTTTCGAAGATAACTGCCAGATAGCGCTCGTGTCTAACGTGCCTCGATGCGCTCGTTCGCCTTCGCTGCACGGGTCGAGACTTTCTAACGCAGCGCTTCCAGAATACAATCCACGGATTTTCTCGCGCAGAACATCAAGTAAACGTGTTTTTTTTTTCACTGTCTCTACACGCAAGACTATATCATCTTTCGACTACATTTGCAGTGAAACATATAGATACGAGGCTTTTTTGTTTTGCTCGCTGTTTCATATCGGGTCACGAATTTCAAAACGGTTCGTTCTTTCCTTCGAAACAAAAACCGAAACACAGCAACAAACGAAGCCACAAGTGCAAATCACCGCTCTCAAGCACGAAGACTAGGTAAGTCCATGTCATGATCATCATCATCATCATCATCATCATCATCATTAGCCTGACTACGTCCACTGCAGGACAAAGGCCTCTCCCATGTTCCGCCAGTTAACATGGGAGAGGCCTTTGTCCTGCAGTCTGTGTCATCATTCCCGTAGTCGCTGAACGATCGCAACGCCAGAGTCCCCTCTTGTTAACTTTAGGAAACTCTGTTTCAAGTGACTGCAGTGCGAATACGTCATCGTGTGACGTCACGTTATGCGACGGCATAGTGATGTGCCATCATGATTGCGATGCCATGTTGTCGCTACTATTGGGGATTAGGACAGATGCCGTTGGACTCTGAAAATTTGGACCATACCTAGGGTAAAGCACCTATATTTAAGTACACGGGCTTGAAACATTTACGCCTCCTTCAAGATTCGATCCCACGACCTGCGGGTCAGCGGTCGAGCACCATAAATGACTTTATATTTACGCAACAGTTCTTGAAGATACGTGAAGTCACGATTACGCCATCGCATATGATCATTTTTTGCATCAATTCGTGTCGACGCCGACGCCGCCAACAGTCAATTTTCGTGTTTTATGAGGCATCTAAAGCTCCCGCCTTTAAACAAAACAAAAAAACGGCTAACGCTCACCGCCACGATAAGGCCTGTCGTCGAATGACTCCACGTGGCAACCAATATTTAAAGGTTTCTCTTCAACGTCGTCGCCGCGAGCGCAGAATAAACAAAGTAAAACAAGTCCATCACAAAGCGAAAAAAACGGATGCAAAAGCCATCGGGAGTCTTGGAAAAAAAAAGTGCAGTAGGTGGTCCCGTTGTAGACGCGTTTGTTTTGGCAGCCGTATTCATCGCCATTTCTTTTTTCCCTCGCACTCGTGTTGTTGCCCAATGGGGCGAGTGGCTGCGCAAGCGAGCGCGTTAAATCGTGGAGAGAAACGCCAGCTGAAACCTCCAGAGGCATCGGAAGAGCAACCCTTCTGCCACTTTTAGCCCAGACAAAAGGAAAAGAAAACATTTCGAGAACAAAAAAGGGGCGCGTCTGCACGGTCGTCGTACACGTTTGCATGTTTCCATTGAGCAAGCTTCGGAAAGAATCGGACCAAGCTCCCCTCCCCCCGCCCCCCCCCCTTTTTTTTTGCCTCGCACAAACTTCGCCACCACGACCCCTTCCCTCTTTATTTTTCTTCTCCGAGTTCAGCTGCATATGTTAAGTCCTGCTGCTCGTGCTGACGAAAGTATACACATTTGCCATTGTCGACAGAAGTAAAAACAGCAACCTCTTAATAGAGGAGTGCTACAGTTTAAAGGTGCAGCTGGTGCCGATTTCATCACAGCTTATGCTACCTCGAACTTTTCGTTTCCTTTCTACCCCTCCCCTCTTTCCTTAAGCTAAGTTGCGAAATTCGGCGGTACGAGAAGCACTTAACTTTGGTAACAGCTGTGGTTTTACGTGCCACAACCACGATATGATTATTAGAGACGCCGTACTAAGATCGCTGCGGAAATTTCAACCATATGGTGTTGTTGTTGTTTTTTTTTAACGTGCGCTAACATCGCACAACAGACGGGCCTCTAACACTACGCAACCATCGAAATGCTCAAAGTGCAACGCGAATTTTGAAAGAACCAATAGTTATTTTGCTGCGTTATTAAACACCTGCTCGTCGAATTTTTATACAACATCATCACCTCTAAAGGAAGAGTTTAACGTGTTCATCGAAAGTTTCACCTTCTTGGTGGTAGTTTTCAATACGGAACACGAACGTCAGAACGTGAGCCCCGACTCCCTGGACAGCACGCAAGCTTCTTCCTAGCAAGACAGAACGACCTCGCGTGAAGCACGCTTTACAGGACAAACGTACATTTTTTTTTTCTTTCTTTCCTTCTTTCTTTCTTTCTTTCTTTCTTTCGGATTCAACGCATATGGCACGTAAGAGCAACAAACAAAGCAAAAAATACACGACCTTCTGAACAGCTTTAAATGTAAACGTGGCTACAAGAAACTTGCAACTCGTTTCTAAGTGCGGTGGTTTTAATTCATTAATAGCCGCACATACCCTTGCTACTACAGCTCATCTCTCCTATAGCTTCCCATTTATGCAACATCTTTCAATTTAATTTCCAATCACCGCTACGTCAAAGCCTGTCTGTGTGTACAAACGAACTTTTGCTTTAAAATGACCGAGTTTGCTTTGTTTACTGCAAGAGTACCTCCATCAAGAGGTATTCGTGATTTCCAGCGATGGTGTCACAACTCCTGCCACGAACATTTACATAGCGTGCAGTCGTAAATGGGAAGTTAGCGCGCACGCAAACAACCATCTTGAAAAGCAATGAGTTTACCCGGGAGAGTTGACATTAAGGCGCATACAATGCCTCATTGTGCCTTCGCTAATAATCCGAACAAATTTCACTTCCTTTGCGTGCACTTTTCAGGGCAAATACGAACACTGGTTGTGCTGCGTCAATAATGAAAGGAGGACTTTAATAATAAAATGGGTAAAACGAATCAAAGGGGCACTGGCACCAATTTTTCGAAGGCGAGTTTGCTGTGCCATACGAACCTCCCGCATACAGAGGAAGTTCTGAGAAAGCTTGAAGCTCGGTAGGTGCCGATAAGGTATTTTACATCGACGTTAACGCCAATTTTCGCGTAGCGCATCTATTGACCTCGACGACGCCGTCGTGACGTTAAGCTACAGTGTCGATTACGGTGACTTCGCGCACAAGTGTGACTAGCCGTGACGTCATGATATCTTGCGCTTGCACGTGACCAAGGTCTCATACCACGTTGCGACATCGATACAGCTAAAATCAAAACTAGCTTTTATGAAATACTGTAACTACTTTTATTTTCAGGGTGTACTCGCGCTTAGCAGCACATTTCCTAGGTTGTTGAGATTTAGGCTTTTTTTTTTCTGTGCATTAGAGTAACTTTAAATTCTTGTGTTGGTACCTTTCAAAGAATGTGTTCAAGATCATCGCGTCTATCTACATTTGTTCGAGACGTGCGTAAGCGTCGTAATATGCACCCGACTCCACGCCTCTCGCTCGGAGTCTGCAAGCGACTTTCTAATGAACTTTTTTTAAATTAACATGTCTTTTCTTTTCTATTTCGTCTTATTGGTAAGTTTATGTGATAGTTTTTACGTCACACTTTGACACTTTGCATTGCTGTGGTGGCATATTCCCCGATAATGTGAGCCTCGAAAATGACTTCTCTTTAGTACCAACCCGTAAAGCGCCTCTGAAACCACGGTTTACTTCCCATAATGAGCTTCGCGTTGAAACAAGAAAAAAAAAAAGGGGGGGGGGGGATATACGGAAACAGAAAAGGAATGATATCGAATTAGCAGCAGCGGCCTCAATGGACTACAAACCGGGGTGTTCTATGCGCCCAAACATCGATCAGTCGATCCTTTCTTTTCTTTTTCCCCTTCCTTATTTCGTTAGGCGCACTCGTTCATGTACGCTCATTGAGATGGCGGTCAGCGTTGATTACCCAAGAGAGGCCAACTGCAAAGCTTTACTCAGCAGAAAGAAGGAGTAATGCCCATGCCGAAAGCAGTCGGCTGTCCGTTCTCTGCATGCGACCCCGTCCACTCCCTCACCATCGGAACACCATCTCACCGCACCCGACACCCCCACAGCTGCGGTTACTTCCGTTGTACGAAGGGGAAAAAAAGGAAAAAGATTAAAGCGGAGCTCGGGCGCTTGGCTTAAACACTGAGCCCTTTATCGGGTTCGCTAATGACTCTTGCGTCACTGAGCGCCAACATCGGGCCTCCAGGCCCCGCTGCTGCTTTTCTCAACTTTTCTTTTTTTTTTTTTCTTTGAGCCGTTCTGTTGGAAAAGCCTACGCCGTCACTGCAGGGGGCGGCGTATAAAAGTGATGCAACGTTCAAAACGCTTAATGTTGCCTTCCAGAATATGGCGTGCTTCACATCGCCGACACTTTCGCAAACGCTGACGTCATCGGCGCGCACGATTTGCCGTAACTTGAAGCTCTCCCCCTTTTCCCCGTGTTTCTTTTGGCCGAAGAGGCAAAATTAAACCTGGTAATAAAGCAATCACGACTGCACGAAATAACGACCGTTACTTCGTAACGCCTGCGCTTGCTGTGGATGCGAAAATGCGCAAAGCCCTGTCGTCAGTTGAGCACTGCACAGAGACGACGTTGATTGATTGATTGATTGATTGATTGATTGATTGATTGATTGATTGATTGATTGATTCATTCATTCATTGATGAGTGAGTGAATGAGTGGGTGAGTGAATGAGTGAGTGAGTGAGTGAGTGAGTGAGTGAGTGAGTGAGTGAGTGAGTGAGTGAGTGAGTGAGTGAGTGGAGTGTTACGTCTGATTTTCGAAGCCCATGTGTGTGGCTTTAGTAATCGACCACCTCGACTTCATGCCCACCGCTGGAACCCGTACAAATACAACTGCAGCGGTAGTCACGTACACGGTATAGGAGAGAGAGATAGCTCACCGTTGCTCTGCTGCTGTTGCTGGTAGAGGGCGGCCTTGTCATTCTGCTGCCGGCCGCCGGGTGCGTTGGAGACGGGCGTCAGCGGGGGCGGTGGCGACGACGGCACGAGGCTGGGCGTCCACGGGGGGGCCGATGGTTCAAGAGGCGGCATCACGTACAGGACGCCCCTGGGATTGTACGCTATGTGTACAGGGCACCGCACACGTATGCACCGCTGCTCTGGAACTTCGCTTTTTTTTCTTTATTGCCTTCTTGACTACAGGTCAAGCTAATATGACAATCACTATCACACGTGTTTCATGCGTGATAACGCGTCAAACAAAGATATTACATCTTCAACACAGTCGGTAGTTTTATACACATCTCGCACTTTTATAACAGCTTCCACGAAACACTCATTAACGGATAGAACTCTCACATCACAGTGTCTGTACAGGTCTTCATTCGGTTTGGCGTAGTATGCTCTGGAACTTCGCAAACTGCACATACTCGTTCCTCTCGTACTGCGGATGGAAGCTGCCTCTCGATGACGAAGGCTGCGCCTAATTCGATAGAGCGAAAAAAGCCGTTGATGGGCTCGTTTAGGGGAAGAGGAGGTTGATAAGAAAAAGCGTCTTTTCCACTCCTAAACTTCTCCTCCTCCTAAAGGAGTCAATCAAAGGTTTTCTACACTGTATCAAATTGAGTGCGGTTTCAGACAAAGACGGCTGAAAAGAAGTATCGCTAGAATTCCAAGCTGCGAGAGTTTTTTTTTTTTTTTTATTCGCGCTATAGAGCAAGCAGTTCTTAAAACAACCTTCGAAACCTTATTCGAGATGGCAAACAAGTGGTAGACGATTCAGTGACTGCACTGAAATTTAATGATGACAATGTTGCTGTTAGAACAGCAGGTGTCTAACACTGTTCAAGTTTATTGAAAGTTAGTCATCATGTGCCACGAACTAACTCTGAGTCAACGTTAGGCAGCGCTGGAAGTGTGCGAGTAAATGCGGTAGTTGTCGTCATACCCCGTTACGAAAGGCCGATATAAAGGCCCACAAAGACGTTTTATTCAGTGACGTAACACACGGTCATCAATTAAAACTTCACAGTTCAGTATGAAGACAAAAAAAAATTCATTATAAAGACTGGAAACCACAGAGGTCGTTATTTATTCGCCATTATTGAATACGCAAGAGGTGCAGCTCGTGCACCAAGCTGTGCCTATAGCCGGGATTTCTCACATAATAGCGAACGTGTTCCACTCCAGTAACGTCGAACAAAGCGCAACACTAGACACAGCGTAAAATCGGATGTTCGCTGCGAATCTGGCGGCGTATAAGTATCGAAGGACCGGACGTCGTTGTATTTGAGTCCCCTGTTGGAAAATTACCCTTTCGTGCGCCAAAGCAGTCTCTCAGACACCTTAGAGAGAGAGTAAAACTTTATTGAAGGGGAAAGGGAGAGGGGCGTTTTAGAGCCTTTATGGTTGGGGCCCTACGTCCAGGGCTCCACTGGCCTTAGCCGCCCGCCGGACTTGATCCAGTAGTGCGAGCTGCACTCCTGGGTCCGAGCTAGCGAGGTGTGCCTCCCACTGCTCCATACTAGGTGTTAAAGGTTCGCCGAGAAAATTGGTTATGTCGCTTGGAATCGTATGCGATGAGATTTTTCCGACAGAACTTTTACTAAATTTGTTGTTTCCGAGTGTGCTACTTTGATACGAGACGCGGTGTTTTCAAAATACCTGCATCATAGGTGCCTTTAATTATCGAACTGTTGTCTCTCTTCCTATAAGCTTTTAACCTAACCTAAAAACAGAGTGTTATTGAAAGGCAGATAATTTAGACGGCGCATACAAATCAATGACATCATACTATGCATGGGGAAGGGAACTAGAAATGGAAAGACAGGAAGGGAGAATCACGAGAAAACAATACATATTAAAACGAAAAAAAAAGTATACAAATCGGGCAGTTTTTCTGGGCGGGCACGGGCGCTGGTAGTGACTTTCATAACGTGCATGCAAGGTACAACTAAAGCTGTTCGAGCTCCACGATAATATGCCCAAAAATGTAAATCGAAATCTGTTGCGTGAGGTAGGCTGAAGGGCTTAAGTTACAATTCTCCACGTGATATCAAAAGTATGCAATATTCGTGGTGGACACGCTTACCAGCGCATACGCTCGGTACTTCAAAAAAAAAAAAAAAAAACAACTCTCCGGGTTCTTTACGCATCCATTTGGGACGACTCGAAAGCTAAACTCGTCTCTTTCTTTTCAGTCGATGAATTGATCTTGCTCCGCCATCATTAGAAAACTTCCTGTGCCAAACGTGGCTTTCACACTGCCTCTAAGATCAGAGGCACCTCACCAGGTTTTTGCATTGCCTACGTGATCAGAACACATTTGACCATGCCATGATGTCTTGATAACGTCATGTGACATTACGCCACAGTGACGTCATGATGACGTCACTAGCTTTGTCGATACGTGACGTCATCACGTGATTATTTTAGCATCACTCGCCCCCGATGCCGAGGTACGTTGACGCCACTGACACCGACGGTCAAGAGAGAGAAAGAATATAAGAAAGTTAGGGAGGTTAACTACACTACGTCCAGTTTGCTACACTACACATGAAGAGAGGGGAATAAGGAAGTAAAAGAGGGAGAGATAGAAGTAGATGCACATGTCACACCACACACACAGAGCAGGGTTTCACAGGCGGTCGCTCAGTAATGTTGCCTTCAAGACTTAAGGGCTCGTGTGGCTTTCTGGGCTGATGTGCTTCAAGACCATGCGACCGAGATCTTCTCCTGAGTAAAGGGACGATTATTCCGTCTAGTTAAGACGCACTGGAGAATCCGGCGATTGTGTTCAAAGTCGGGACAGTGGCACAAGACGTGGTCAAGAGTTCCTACAAATTTGCAGTTGTCAGACTTGGATGAGTCAGCCATACCAATTGCGATAACTGAATGAGTTGGTAAAGGGGATACGTCGACCCACAACCGACACGGCATTGTAGCGTCACGTCGCGAAGCATTTTATGGCGTGTGTAGTTGGAGCGATGGATCGAGGTTCTGTGGGCGAAGAGTGGAGAATTTCAATGCGTCAGTGTGGCATTATGCGTGATGTGACGAAGTTCTCTCGCAGCGTCGACTCTTGACAGAGGTACTGTGTGCAGTGTGGGCGCCCCGGGCCGACTGTCAAATTTCGTGTTTGATGAGGCATCTAAAGCTTTCGACTTAAAAAGAAAAAAAATTGTTCCGCAATTTCACTTGATACGCAAATGTTGCAGTATACGAACTTGCCACTTGACCGAAGCGGTACCACAAACCGTTTCCATGGGAAGTGTTTAGACGAAGCCGATGGCACAGATTTTGAAGATATCGAGGAATTCCGGACGGATATTCTTCCGCAATGTGAGTCGATTGAGTAGAGGAAAGCATTATTATGCGTCGAAAGGTTCCAAAGATTTTTCTTTTATTCAAAAGGAAGTATTTTAGTCAACTGGGAAGCATCACATTTGGTAAAGTAAATTCGTTTGTAATTTAGGTAAACTTTTTACCTACCACTTCATCTGATTTTTCGTTGATCAGAATATCGAAATGAGCCTGGCATAACCTAACCCAACCAAGCGTGTCCTGAATACTTAACGTACAGTGGCTGTAGTAAGGTCGCTGGTTAGATTACAGGCCACATCGCCCACATCTCGACGGAGCCCAAGAAGAGAAAAAAAGAGTAAAATGACGGCCGGGTGCTCAGAATAAGCTGAACGTTAAGTAACCGCATGAAGTCAAAATTAACCGGAGTCCCTCAATCTACAATGTGTCCCATAATCATATTTTGGTCGTGACACGTACAACACCAAAATTCATTTTACCTAGCCTAATATAATCGGCCTTGCTATTGGAAGTCTATACTCTATAGACGCGCGCTGACTGCGCGTCGAACAGAACAGCACAGTTGCATTGATACGTCGCGAGGCTGAGTCAGAAAAACGTACGCCGTTAATTTAAGGAAGAGCAAAATTCTCAATACATGCACGTGGCTCGTCTCACTCTCTCTCTCTTTCACTCACTCACTCACTCTCTTGCACAAAATGACGGTTTTGCAACGCCGCCGTAACACGAAGGGCCTCCCCTTCGCTTTGCGATAACGCTACCATTAACTTCAGTTGTGAAATACCACCGACTCCTTCTGTTGCCGAAATGTTAATTTTATATCTTCTTGCTTTGCTTACTTAAATAGACGTACCATGCACCTGCTTATTGACAAGTGCTAACCAATCCCAAGTGAAGTTCGTACGCGACACGGACTTGAACAAGTGGTTGTAACAGCAATGTCACACACCATGAAAGACATGACTGGACTATGACTGAGTGTGCGCGCGTGTGCTGCCGAATGGGCTGTGTTTATCTCTCTTCCCTCTCTTCTTTCCATCTTTCATCTCTCCCATCCCTCTCCCATGCGCAGGGTAGCAAACCGGCTGCCTATAGGCTGGTTAACCTCCCTGCCGTTCTTTTCCTCCTATTTGCCTTCCCTCTTTCCCAAGAGATTGGCCAAGAACTGAGATGTGCCTTTTAGCATGCCAATTTGAAATTATTTAATGACCCAACATGTTTATTCCTACAAATACCCAGTAGCAAACGCCCATGGAATGGCGTACTCTTAGTAGGCCTATTTGTCGAGTCCGCCAGCATAGGCGAGGGCAGGCTTTCCTTGCAAGGGTAGGGTGGAGGGCGAAGGTTTATTGCAGCACCCCTTTTCCTCTTAGGTGACTGGGGTGAGGGGTGCCCCTTGCCCTCCACCCCCCACCCCGCGCATGCCGATTTCCGCAAGATATTAGTACCCGGCACGCCCAAAGTAGGTGTGGAGAGTAACATCAGTTTGCCTATCAGCCTTTTACACCGACATTAGCTAAATATATAGTTTCGAAATGGTGCTATACCTGTCCTAAACCTAACGTTTCTCTTTAGCGCATCCGCTCTTTTAAAAGCGCACGAACTCGCGATTAGGGATAAGACGTCAGTTCTCGCTCACGTCTCTTCGCACGTCCCATAAAGCGCCAGGCGTGCACCTCCGTGAGAAGAACGGCGACGCGACCGAGACAAGGTCAGTCTGCGGACGCGTATTTAATGGAGCCAAATGACCGAGCGAGGCGAGGAGTCAATGACAGAGCCCCGAGG